TGACGTCAGAGGTCTCTGGCTACGTCCGATTGATTAATTTTTTTAAAGAGCCACAACTTGCTGGTAGCTTGATTGCTTCGCATACGCTTCCTTGTAAAATTGCTGCAGACGGCTTGCAGGATTCCACGTCACCTATGAAATTTGAAACAAGCCTCGTAAGATATTTATGGTCATCTGTGGGGTTCTAGTAAAAGGAAAAAAGGTGGTTCATTTAAAATGAGGCAAAAATAAAATTCCTGTCTTCACAGCTCTGAACGAGACTCATGTCTGTCAGCTTAATTAAAACAGCAAGGTGTCATGTAATCTGATGTGGATTTACAATAGTGTGAAATGAATTCCTCAGTGCTGTTTTCCATCTCTTTTCCTATTTGAATTGGTGGGTGTGGGGCCAGAAGTTGTCTTGGTGCTGGAAGACACGTTTAAAAATGTGACTGAATCCCTAATGATAGTTTTAGCTACATTATGCACTGTTGGGCTGCAGGAGTCAGTATTTAAATTCCTATGTAGTGCACTATGTAGGGAGCAGGGAGCCATTTGAGATTCAGCCCCAGCATGTGAAGAGGGGCGCCGTTAGCTTGGTGTTAAATAAGGAAAACAAAAAGAGGCGCTAATGTAAATTAGCATTAGTCGTTGCGGTAATTTGGTGACCAAAAAGCACTTATAAAACCAATATTTTTGTGTTAAACATTGCTATGATACAATAGTATTATATGACAAATAGTTAAAAAAGTCATGAAATGACTGCAATATACAGTGTTGGGAAACTGGACATCCTTCTGCTCCACAAAAAACAGTCCATGGTTGCTTGGCAACAATAACATACTCTAAAGGAACTGCATTTCTTGGCGGAATCCTTGTTTATGTTGATTATTATTAATAATAACTTAAAATATTTACTGACAAATTGTGTATTAAATTATATTTTATGTTGTGCGCCCTTTTATTTAAATTCACAATGATGCACAGCCTCTTGTGGCTTATTGCTTAAATGGATGCTCAAACCCTGTAGGTGATGAAAGTACTGCAAAGTGCCCAAATCTGGTCCTGGAAGGCCAGAGACCAGCAAAGTCTGTGAATTTCCCTGCTTAGACACACCTCCATTCACCAGAGCGCAGAGCAGGGACCTCATCAAAAAGTCCAGCACTTCCACCCTTCAGGACCGGAATTTGCCACCTCTGCATTAGAGGGCTGCATGCATTTATTTTATAATTGATAAATATAGGAATACAGTAATCCTTCTGTGAATTCTTTTTGGGTTGCCTGAAAGTTACTTGGAAGAGCTGAACCACGTACAGTACTTCACATTGTTAAGGATCCTATCCTTATTGAAATAGTAGGCTCAGTGCAGCTTTGGCAGCCAGCAGACTGTGAAGCAATGTTGTTTGTCAACGCCACTTCATACAGCCCATAGATACGCAGTCAAACAAACTGTCGGCAGCCGGTTGCATCCGCGCGCGTGTGTGAAACCCAATCTAGCAGTGGAGGAACATGTGCAGCATGGCGCCTCGTTGCTTTATAGTCGCAGGCCAATAGTTGGCCCTTCACAGGACAGATGCATTGTCACAACGGGCGTTCTTGTGCAGCGTTAACCATGTTTGCAGAGTGTATGAAGGGCAGGACGTGCCTGTTAGCCTTGAGTTTCAGGCGACATGGTTGGCTGAGGAGACAGAGCCATAGCTATGGAATTAGCCCCCACCTGGAGTAGGGAAGTTTCTTTCTAGTACAATAGCAAATGAATAACTCCAGAGATGAGATGAGGCAAGAATAATGCCTTCTGTCTTAACTCAAAACACATAACACCAATTAGAATTTAGCTCTGATTGGTCGAATCACCATTTTGCACTAGTGCTAGTTGCGCTAATGCATGTCTTAGACCGGTATAACATGTTGTAGCGTAACAATACAACATAGCGATTGAAACAATACAACGTATACGATACCGCATATACGATACAACTAAACGATTGAAACAAGCCTCTCGGTTCAATACACATAGGCATGACTAAAACAAATATTGCATAAAGTATAAAAAAATTAAGCAAGTAAGCTTGAGGCTAACTATTAGCTTGTTGTTAGTGTATTATTCTAAAATATTTCACTTTTATATGTTGAGTGTTCTAATAAACTAAAAACGGAAGTATTAGCATATTAGCATAAGGGAGATTTTTAGGCAGCGGTGCAGTTCTTGTTTATTAAAGCAATACGTTTTTGCCGTTTTAATTTGTTTAAACTGAGTGCAGTTTTAAAATGAGGGTTGACAGTTTCGTGTCTGACAAAGAGCTACTTTTTCACTGCTCGCTCTCTAGTTGTTAAAGGTGGTGGGGTGTTGCAGTAAACTTGGACTGGAGTGTTAGTAACCTGACCAGGCTAATAAAAGCTCCATAAATCTGGTCGGCATTAGCCAGGCGGCAGATGAGGGTTGCGAGAGGGGAGGGCTGGGAGGGTGGTAAGATGCAGGTGATGCCATTACAAGTGGGGGGCTGCCGTAGCAGTGAATTAGCACAATAAACCTTCCTCCGCACCCCCTGGTCTTACCCCTGGAGCTGCAGTCTGGTCCGGTTACGCAGGGCCTTGTTAAGATGAGAAGCTGTCAGCATCTGAGCATTGTGTGTCAGTGCATATTTTGGGGGCTGGCATCAGCCTGCTGTGAAGGTGACATGACATCTTTTTAAGACCTTTGTCCTTCTTGTGTACAGTGGGCTGTGTGTATGTGCGTGTGTGTTTGTGAGTGTGCATACGTGAGCATGGGCCCCCCATTGAATGTGAGAACAAGTTGTATGAAGGAGCTCTCTTGTCCTGTGGAGCAATGTCAAATTCTCCATAAATGACACAGCCATGGCAAGGGCAGAGACAATTAGTGTTCATTAAGGTACATCCCAAAGCAGAATAGATGTTGTCCGTCCTTAACACAGCATGCGGTATATTCATTAACCTTAATCAGTATTGATATATTTCTGGGCATACATTCAGAGTTCTAGACATCAGGACCAGTTACAGTCATCAAAATAAGTAGATAACAGACACATTAGTGATTTATCACTAAACAAACATCCATTTCCAGATGCAGATTTCAAGCTAATTCAGATATATCCTCATTCCAGAGCTGTGTGCATTTAAAGCGTTTACCCGGGACTGGCCCAGCATGAAGTCCTGTCCAATTCCACTTTCCCTCTCGTCGGCTACATGAAATGGCTCCTGGGCCACCTTTAAGTGGTTTCCACGGAAACCTCCTATCCCCTGGAGAGGTTTGCATAATTAAATTAAGGCTCTTTTGTATGTCAATTAATTAAAACCGGGGGACAGGTCTTTAAGGCGCGGCACTCGGCCGTATCAGCCAGTGAAGTGTGTGTGGGGGGGGGACGGATTCTGAGTGTTTACGCAACCGTCACACCTCAGTGAATTACTGGCCCCTTACGTTGTACTTGCGGGGGTAGTATTGACAGCTGCTTAGAGTGATGGGAGGAAAACTATGAGGAGGAGAGAGGCTTAAGGAAGCCTTTCTGTGTGGACGCGGTGCAGTGTTTAACATGGGTGTTCTAAAGGCAGGACCAGATTTACAGGCAGAGCTATGAGGATTTATGATCAGACCCATGGGGAACCACTGACAGAGACCCTAGAAATGTGTTGCAGTGTTCATTCCGACATTATCTAAACAGCTGTACTTTTACACAACAGGGTGTTTCATGTACTTATACTATGGACCCTAAAACAGGAATCATTATGTTGGTCCAGTGAACAAACCTAAGCAAATAAACAACTGACCAGTTTGTTTTTCCCCTCATAAAAGCCTTTCTTTACATGAAGGTTTAAATATGCATGAAATGTTCTTGACATTTACATGGTTCTAAGCAAAACTTGGTCTGAACCATTAGGGTCTTTTCACTTGGCTGACACTGAATGAACTGTTGTCACTTCTCTAGATACCTGCTTTGATTTGTGCAGCAGACGATTTTCTCCGAGACTGTTTTGACACATGGGTACATTTATCGTCTCTGAATGAGATCTGGGTTGGAAATAATGGAAGGGATAGTTGTGGTTTTAAAATGTCATTAAAATACCCTATACACACACATTGCTGCTTAAGTCAATTATATTATATATTAATGAGCAAATGTTTTATAAAAGCAATATGGCACTCGAAGCCAGGTCCTTTCACTGTAATTTCACCCCACTTTGCGTCATGGAAGAACTTTGGTAATGCGCATATGACTTATTGCTCTAGAATATAACAAGATATACCAAACAATATGAAAAACCCACAAGCTCAGGTTGACCACAGTACAGCACGATTAGGAAAGTTTGTGAATATTTTCCCAGTTATTGCCACCAAAATTGCATAAAATCTTCAATTCATAAAATATGTCAAATGGTTGTGATTGGAGTGATGACAGGTATGTCAGTGTGAATGCTAAGCAAACCATAACTAAAATACAACCATGTATCTTGCTTACAAATATCTTTTTTTATGAATTACTTTGTAAATCTACGCAAAAACATCTAGCTGATCTTCTTAACCAAAGAGAGGTGACAAATCTGCACTTTCAACCTTTACGGTGGCTTCAAGCAGTCACACACACACACACAATCACTCACAGGCAGCGAGCAGGAGATGGGCAGGTGTGTGTCCGGACATCACATGGAGAGAGCGGCCGTGGCCCTATCTGTCAGCAGCTGGTCATCTCCTGTCTGCAGCTCTGAAATGGCCACTGACAGCTGCTGCTCAGTTTGGTTGAACCTGCTTGCCATGCCTCAGTTCTTTTAAATTGATGTAACAGCTCTACCCCAAAGTTTTATTTAAGCAGTGCTTCATCCCGACAATGCTAACATGGCTAACCACAAATGAAAACTAGTGGGCACAGATTAACATGACCACGTTTGGTACATGTTAACTGCCCCCTAGCTAGCAATGTTAGCAGTCCCTCAGCCAAGAGATACCTCTTGGTGCTAATGTGACATGTGCGGTGAGCTGATGTGCTTTTCTTGTTGTCTCTGTCTTTCAGGAGTGCGGCTGGACCGGGTGCGTGGCGGCAGACAGAAATATAAACGCCGGATAGACGCAGAAAACAGCCCCTACCTGAACCCACAGCTGGCCCTGCCACCCAAAAAGCCATGTAAGCTCACACTTGATCTGCTTCTGAACAGAACATACTCTGTTGTAATATATATATATATATATATATATATATATATATATATATATATATATATGTATAAAATATTTTTTTTCTTTCCAAAACCCATTTTTAATTGGTCTGGATAATTGATCAGTGGTAGCCTGTTTACTGCTTTAGATATACATGTGCATATGCACTCACGGTTTTATGCACGGGTGGCCAAATTTGCTCCCTTTATATTACAATAATGGTATTAAAATGTTTTTTTTAGTTATTTTTTCTTAATTAATCCTGTTTTTTATTCTTGCATCTTTATGATTGCACACATTCTTCATATCTACGTTTGTGCAACTGTAACCCAGTATACCCTCAGTGTCCATACTGTAGTCGTCTCCTCTGCAGCAGGGAATAGGGCAAGGAGAGAGAGCGAGAGAGAGACCCAGATGTGGTGTGTGACAGAGCCAATAGACAAGGGATGTGTGTGTGTGTGACAGAGAGAGAGAGAGAGAGAGAGAGAGAGAGAGAGAGAGGCCTAATCCGGATTAAATCCAATCTGGCAAAGACATCAAACCCGCAATACCGGCTCTTCCGTGCTGTCTGACTGCTCGGCAAACAGACAGCACGGCAGCGCTTAACAGATTTGGCCCTAAAGCCTTTTTACTTAATGCTAGCATATTCTCCTGGAATACAATATGCTTTTATGCATGATAGCGGCAGAAATAATCATAATTATTACAGCCGCAGAAATCATATTAGAAACACAGGGCACTGAATAACCTTCCATCTAATCCTGTTGATCCCCTCTGCCAGGGTTAGCTTTATTTTCATCTATCCAGACCAACTTATTTCAAGGCTTATTCTCACAGTCCAGCTCTCATCCAATTTCATTACTATGATTTCTTTTCTTTCTTTTTTTTTCATTCTTGTACCCTTGCCTGGCAGAGAGCTTTTGACGCCATGGCTTCCAGCCACAGGGGACAGTAGTGTAGATAAAGCTGTTTTGCCAAACCTTGTGCTGTGCTGCTGTTACAGTTGGTGGTTGAATAAATCATCAGTAGTGTAAGTTTATCATGTGATAACCAGCACTGCTTCAGATGCAGACGAGCGTTAGCATTTTTCAAACATGGTGACATGTTTGGAAAGCCCTGCCATTGGCAGTGATTTGGAGCATATGTATCGAGCAGTCTTGCTCACAGGCTGTGTGTGCTGTGCGGCCTCACGCTCCCCCTCCCCTCTCTAAACGGGTGGGGAGGGGGCTGAGTGTGGCCACAGCCTTCCTGATCGATTATTTGCACATAACAAAGGCATGGGGGTTTAGAAATTGGGTTGCATTGATTCTAATTAGGGAAACATTAAATAAGATTTACCTAGAGATAGCACAGCTCTCTCTCTCTCTCTCTCTCTCTCTCTCTCTGCCTCTCTCTCTGCCTCTCTCTCTCTCTCTCTCTCTCTCTCTCTCTCTCTTGTCTGTCTCTCTCTCTCTCCCTCTCTGTCCCCAGGAGTGGAGAGACTGGGTCGATTGATTCGGCACACATACCCCAACCCCCTCCTCCCACTTCTCTCTCTCTCTCTCTCTCTCTCTCTCTCTCTCACTCTCTCTCTCACTCTCATTCTCTTGTAGTCTTTTTCTTAATCTTGTAAGGGTAGTTAGTTGTTTTAAATGTAGTGATGTATTGTCATCACTAAATTAATGTATTGTCATCACTAAATAAATTTAATTTTCAAACCCGAATACAACTTCTGGTATTATATTTGGGATCGAAAATTAAATTAAAAATTTTGATAGTTGAACATGTGTGCAACTATTGAATATTTTCATTTTTGAATATGCTATCAGATGTTAACTCAAATATTCTACAAAAGCAGAATTAGGACACATTTTACTTTAATTAAAAAAAAAAACAATCTGGCAGTCCTGAACAATTTGCTGAGGCTGTTTGAACAGAGTTTAGCAGTGCCAGATAGCAGAGGAAACAACGTCTTTTTAACTATTATCTTGAAAATTAAAACTTTTTGGTCAGCTTCTCAGTGAATGAGAGAGTCATGAAGACTTTTAAGATGCTCAAAGCTGCTTTATACTGGAGCATCGACTTTAATGCCTGGTAAAATCTAAGTAATTTTCACTAAGTCATCTGGACAGCTGACTAGTAAGCATGGTCCCATTCATTCAATACAACTGAGAGCACACTATCACAAAAAGATGTTGAGAGAACTCAAAATATCGAGGCAACATGATTAATTCAACTAAAGACAAGAAGGGTAACATTAAACACACATGTTTTAACCAATACTCAATAAATAGTCTGCACTGCCAGGAGGTCAGTTCTGCTTAGGAAAGAACTGAGAGTCCTTGGGCGCAGATTCCTTACACTGTATTAGTTTACTTCTGTAACATGTCTAGACTGTAAGTCACTCTGGATAAGGGTGTCTGCTAAACGCTGTAAGTGTAATGTGGGCTAAATTCCCCCTTATCAAAATATGATCTTATTTTTTATATTATACTGTGCATGATAGCTGGAAATGTTGAAAATGTTTTAACTGTAACTGGAGTTAAAACTGATACTGTCGCCTCACATTGCAAGAGTCTCACAAGCTGTGTAATGTCCAAGAGTCTACTATACTAATACTAATACCATAACAAGCCAAATACTATACTAGTATTTGGCTTGTTAAACAAACATTTGTTTCCCAACGGGAGTGCATGCCTGCATAAGAGTGGTATACGTGTTGGTTATTGAAATGGCTTTTCCATTTTTTAATATTTTAAAGAACAGATTTATCAAAAATTATCAAATGTCTGTTGTAGCTGAGATTCAATCCTCACACTTACACACTGGTTTCAAGACATTTTCATTTTGGTCTACACACACACACACACACACACACACACACACACACACACACACACACACAGCTTCTGGTGTTATGTTTGGGTTCTGTCTGCTTATCATATTGCATTGCTATAGATGATTAAACACCAAATTAATAGTAAGACTGTCACTAATTACTTCTTCCAACCTCATCCACAGATGTGAATGTGATTTGAAATGTTATTTTTCTTATCTGAATGTCTTCTATAACAAATCCTGTATTAATCATTCAGCACTGCAACATTGAGAGTGTAATTCAGAACTTTTTTTTTTTTGCATTGAAATAAAACACCATGCTTTTCCAAAAGGTAAAAATCCATTCAAACGGTAGCGACTCTGCCTGAGTTTTTAAAATGAGCACCTGCAGCAAAAAGCAGCTTGTAGTTCAATTTTGTGTCAAAGCGAATGAGGCTGAGCATTCATTCAGAGAAGAAAAGCTGCCAGCGTTTTAACGACTCTGTCGGTCTCTCCTCGAGGAAGAACAGTACAGTCAATAGTTCCTGTTGATCTGCTGAACTATTTGCTGATGAACGCCGCCTATTCTTTGTGACGGTGCTCGTATAATCCCATTCTGTCTTTTTTTTGTGTTTTCTCCTCGGTGTTCAAATACAGTCCCCTTTGGCTGCCTTGCAGATAACAAAATTGTGTCGCACTTGCTGGTGGCCGAGCCTGAGAAGATCTACGCCATGCCGGACCCCACCGTACCGGACAGTGACATCAAGGCTCTGACCACGCTCTGTGACCTGGCTGACCGCGAGCTAGTTGTCAACATCGGCTGGGCTAAGCATATCCCAGGTACCACCAGAACGCATTCATGCCCACACTAACACAAAAAGAATGGTCTGTAGATCAATTCCGTCGTGTAATATGAAATCTAAAAAATACACATCGTTTCTTTAAAGCATGTGTTTAATTTTTAGGTATAATCTTAAGATTCAAAGGGCTGTCAATTTATTTTCTTACCTTTTTACTTATTTTGTTACTCTTTTGTTACACTGTTTATGCATAATTCATCATAATTAGGGCAGATACTACGTCGGCAGTTCCGTACCGCAGCCCTGCCCCACACAAACCAGTCTCTTTAGCGCCTGACTGACTAACAGGGAGCAGAGTAGCTAGCTAGCATTTTTGTAATGCACAGCTTTAATAATAAAATAAAAGCACCCAATTTACGAAATATCAGTTACACAATTTAACATAAATGAAACTGTGCTTTGCAGAGAAGCTTTTTGATAGAGCTGTTCTTTCTTTCCTCTGTATCTAGATAGATAGATAGATAGATAGAACTTCTGAGGGAAACTGCAGTGTTTCAAGACATATAATTTCACATAAACTTACATATACTATGCAGAAAATAAAAATAGAAATAAAAATAGACATAAATTAAGTACAATAGTAGAAATAAAGTATATCTATTCGCATATTTACGAAGCATATGAGACAGTTGTTGTATTTACATGATAGCAGGCACTGAGTGGTATGAGGTTGACTAAAAGCACAATGAGTATAACTAGGAGTTGCAGCGTAAAGTGCATAGTGAAAGTGTCATTACAGTAGTAGTTATGATATATTGCACATTAACAGGAGAGGTGGTATAGTGATGTGGTTCAGCTCAGTTCAGACAGCAGGAGATCAGTATTGTCTCTGCAGTAAGGAGACTCGTTGTAGAGCCTTATAGCTCTCTACTCTCTCTGAATGTCTGAACTGCTGGTAAAGTGTGCGTGTACATTAAGCTCTTTCTGCAAAGTTTCTAAGCTTGTCTGACTCAACCAACTTAACCATGTATTGTATTGTATCTAACTTTTCACTCAGTTTGAAGTATTTCTTAGGATTTTAATTCAAATCTGACTAATTGATTAATGATCATGTAGTCCCAGAATCTCATATTGAGATTTAATATTTGCAGTCGAGTTGCCAAACCCTTTAGCCGTATTTGTCTCTGCCTTTGGCTAAAGGATCTTTTCCACAAGCTGAATAAAGCCTGTCCAGCACTTTAAACTAAGCTACATCCTGTCAATCACAGACTATCACCCCAGCAACCGCTGACACGCTCATGAGGTCAGCACTTTTCCCTTTCTCTCTCTCACTCTCTCTGTGACAGCGGAGAGGAAATGAGATCAATTTGTTTAGTTTTAGCCTAATTCCTCCGTGCAGAGCGGCTAGAAATCTAAAGGAGCAGACGCGGGCCATTTTCTCCTGCCCGGTCGCCTTAGCGGCAGACCTGCTGAAAGGATTGAAAGGACGACATTAGCCATGAACAGTAATGGCTCCAGTGACCATGATTGAGAGAAGTGGCCCTTTCTCTCTCCCCCCTCGCTTTCTCTTTTTCTCCCCCATGTCTCTCTCTCTCCCTCTCTGTCTCTCTCTCTCTGCTGCTTTACTGCACATCTCCAGCAGGCGGAATGAGGAATTTCCACTAATCTACTTAACAAAGGCCTTCTTTTTGTGCTTAATCTCGAGCCGTGCTGCTGTGCAGAGCAGGCTAGTGCTCCGTTCCACTCCCCGCCTTTTGACAAGAGCGCTGCCCAGAGGTGGCTAGTTGTCGGAATGAGAGGAGAAAGCGCCCAGATTAGAGAGTAGTTGGCAGTGAAGTTGTTACGGAATAGCGATGAAGTGCTGGTTGTGGAGGAAGTTTGGCCATTATTGACGTCCCGCTATCAGTATCAGCATCGTAAAGCACCGTTAATTAGTGGCTTGTATTATATTGTTAGTCACACAACTCTATTGGTTTCATGCTCACATGCTCAACCAGTCTGCTTTTACAAAGACTGATGAACTGACCAATCTGCATTTATAGCATAAGAATTGGTGCATTTGAACACAAAACACCATCATGGTTAAATATAACAAAAAAGAGCATCTAGTTGTGACCTTTAGCATGAGAATAACACTTTATACCACAAAAATCATAAAGAGAACTGATGCAAAATATGTCCAGTCATATTGTCCCATCATATCTGACTATTCACTGTCTATATCAGTCAGTAAAGCACTGTGTAACTTTAATTTTTGACTGTATTAAATCACATTTGCTGAAATCTGTAATTATCAGAATATTTATCTCCTTCAGTAATTCAGTGTCAGCCTGCTGGGCCCCTCCTTTGTTCCTGAGCATGTTTTTTTTTTGTTACCCTGTGTGGTGTTGCTACTGGCAGGGCTGGCACCGAGCATGCCCAAAGTGGCACGCAGGGCGCATAATGGACTTAAAGCCGTCTCGGGCACGAGAAGCAAGACTGGGGTTTAGTGTCTGCTGCTCAGTGCCAGATTGCTCTGGGCTGGCCCTGAGGACCGGAGGTGATTTCACCCATAAGCAAGAAGCCACAGCGGCAAAGCTAAAACTGCTAGAATGAGGAAGCTACTCTCTCTCTCTCTTTCTGTCTCTCTCTCCCTCTCTCACTCACATACTCTCTCTTTTTCTGGCTTTCTTCTTTCTTTTATACCCTCTGTGTGTTTTTTCATTCTCTCTCTCTCTCTCTCTCTCTCTCTCTCTCTCTCTCTCTCTCTCTCTTTCTGTTTCTCTTCACATTTGACTGTTTTACATTTGAGCACTTTTCAGCCAGGCAGAATGCTCTGTTTGCAGGATTGTGAGACCCGCAGTATCTCCATGTGGGTCCGTACATTTCATAAGCCTAAATCTATTCCAAATGTAAACAGAGGACTCTGTCAAATGGCATTCTGTTTGTGTGTGTGTGTGCGTCTATACGTCTGTTCGGTGCTGGAGATAGTTCCTATTCTGTGCGGCCGCACTGGGCCGGGAGCGATTGCTCAGCAGAAGAGAGATGATTGTATGATTAGAGCTCGGCAGGCAATTCGGGCTATGTTTGAGGAGAATGGAGTCTCCGTGTCCCGCGCTGGTCGTCCCGCCACTCTCATCTCCAGCAGCCTGCCTTCACACTGCTCCAACGGTCTGATGAAAACTAGACTGCCAAAGGAAAGCGATCTTATATCCAGATCCAGTAGGCAGAAAGGCTTGGTGACCCTCTATAGAAGTTTGTCTCTCGCTGTCTCCAGTGTATATTTTTTCCTCCCTCACCACCGCTCACTCATTTCTTTCAGAAGTGACACAAGCTCAGTGAACAGCTCTCTTTTGACCTGTCCTATCCATGTCCCCTTCATCTAAACATGCGTGCCTGTCATTTTTGTCACCACTCAAACTCTCTGCCTTTTTCTTGATGTCTGGTACAGTAATTTTTTTTTTTTTTTAATCAAATTGATGAAGGTCTCCATTCTCCCCAAGAGAGCCCCGAACCAATTTATCGCTCATGATGCAGCGGCTGTGTTGCTAACCGTCGTAACAAACTGTCAGGCCCTCGCGCGGGAGCTAATTTGAAGTCATTAGGTGTGTGCAGCGTGCGGGCAACGATTTGTTACGGCGGTTAGGAGCGCGGCTGACATTTCTGAGCGCCTTCGCTTAAGATCTGTCCCAGGCTAGGAGCAGGCAAATTGTAAACTAATTTAAACATCACTCAGCATTACGGGGGCTGCCGTGGCGGCAGCTCGCTGGATAATGAAGCAGTCTGTGTTTTAGATGCCACGGCTCGAGCTCCTTCGCACATGCTCCACACGCTTCTCCCTCCGTCCTCTTATCGTTTACATGCATCTGTAGGCCAGAAAAACGTTTGAAATGTTGAGCTGTACTAGAAAACCTACCACACTTTCCCTAAGCCTGGCAGACATGGAGAAGTCAGTATTCAGGAATATGATTTTAACTGAATATGGTGGGGAAAAAATGCAGGGACTCCACACAATGCGGATTGGGATGAGGAAACTCATTTGCCAGATTAAAACATTTGCTGGCTAATTTTATTTTAAGCATTTTAAGCTGCATGTCATTGCATAGAGGGAGGCGGGCCAGTGAACGTTTTAAAAAGGAGGGCTGGAAAGACCCGTTGAAAATGCCTTTTTTATCTGTAAATAGAATTAGAGCCTTTTCCACCTCTCGCTGGGACGAAATAAAAAATAAATGAAAACGTGCTGTCATGCAATTGTGACATGCCTTATCGGAGCAGAGGGGCGCACAATGGCGGGCCAGTCGCACTTGACTTGACGTGCGGGTTACAAGAATGGACAGTGCGCGAACTAGCAGGCGCCTTTTTAGCATGACGGGGCGCCCACTATTAGAGCGCCTTTATGGCGTCTGAAATTGCCCAGGCTTCTCCCATTCTTGGCCCTATCTCGGGGACTTTCTCTTCCTTTATTTCCCTTTCAATTTTCGCCAGCACGCGGATAAGCGCGTGCTAACACAATATGATTGAGCTGTAAAATGGAAGCCTGTCGTCTCTAATCTCTTTTATGTAGATACTGAGGTACTGCCACACTCCACTTCATTCCTCTCTCTCTTTCTTTCTTTCTTTCTTTCTCTCTCTCTCCCTCTCCATCTCCTACTGCTGCCTACTCTCTCTCTTTCTCCTCTATTGTTGGGGGCCACTGCATTTGTAATAGCTTCACATGAGCGAGAGAGAGAGAGAGAGAGAAACCAAGGCAGTCAGAGCCAGGAGACTCCAAGTCAAATATTGCAGCTAGCTTTCACAGGCTGTAATAAAGACGATTACGTGCTCACTGGTCAGCCGCGTTGTTGTGCCGCGTGTCGGATTAGAATATTCACACCGAAACCTCGTTACGGCAGGATGATTGGGGGGGTGCTTGGAGGTGCTCACTCAACCCCATCTCGGCTCTTGATTGAGGTGTCATTATTATTGGCTGACCTGAATATAGGCTTAGTCCCTGAGCCTCGATACAGACGAAAGGAATTAAAGAAAACTGGCAGACCGAAGCACCGTCTCCTGCCCCGAGGC